AAAAAAAAAAAAAGAGAGAGAGGAGGAAAGCCGCAAGGAGGAGTTCCCAGGAAGAGGAGCTCAGGGGTGTCCCGGCCCCGAGGGGCCGCGGAGGGGACCATGCCACGATCTTCCTTTGTGGCTGCAGCTTTTGGCTTGCCCACGTTACGGAGGGGGGCGTCGAGCTGCTCCCACGCCGCCTCTCCTCCCGGCGTCGGAACCTACAAGTCCGGGTGTTTCTGCCCCGGGCCCCTCCTGACCCCACCGCCCCGCACCGCCCCGGCCGCCCGCGGGCTGGGTCTCACCGTGTGGGCTGCGGCGGCAGCGTTGCTGGCCCGAAGAGGCGGCAGGGCGATGGGGGAGGGCGGGCCGGTCCCCACTCCGCTCCGGGGAGCCCCTGCACCGAGCCCCGGGGAAGCCTGAAGCTGACGAACCGCGCTGTCCCCTCCTCGGCCTGGGAGCCACGTGCGGGAGGAGACAAAAGAGGGTCAGGGGGGAGAAAATCGCCCGGACCCCCCCACACACACACCACACACACACACACAGACCAGCGAGCTTCTCCCAAGGCGAGACCAAAGGACAGACCCAGACAGTGAAACTGGGAATCTGGGGATCAGGGGCGCCCAGGCCACAGATCCCTGGCGCGCACCCGCGGGCGGGACTCGGGCAGCTGCAAAGTTAAGTCGGGCCCTGGCGCGCGAGTTCGCGACCCAGCGGGGACCACGGGCTGGGCCGGGGCTTCGCGGCCCACGCTGCAGGCGGCCGCGGAGGGCGCAACGGCCTCGCCGAGTCTGGGGCAGGGCGGGCGGCCCAGACGCCCCCGCCGAAGCCGGCAAGCAGGAGCCCAGCAGGGGCGAGGGCTCCCTCCGAGAGGCCTAGAGCCGCGAGCAACAATGGGCGGGCCGGGGCCGGGCGAGGGCGCGCCGTCCGTCCGCTGCGCCGCAGGCAGCCGCCACACAGGGACTGGCCGGGGCCGGGGGCGGGTGGGGCCGGCGCTCTTACCGGTCGGGTAGGCGGCGGGAGCGGCGGCCGAAGGTTTCCTGGTTAACATGGCCGCTGGAGGGAAAAATGCATTTCAGGGCCGCCGCCGCCGCCGCCGCTCCGCCTGCCACTTCTCGCGGCGGCCGCCGCCTCCTGGCGCCCCTCGCGCGGGTCCCCGGCGCCTCCTCGCCGCCTCGCGTCAGCTACGGCCGGACACACACAGTCCGCTGCATCCCCTCGGCCCGGGCCCGCCGCCGCGAGCCCCCCGCTCTCCTCCTCGCCGCCGTCCTCCTCGTCCTCGGGCGGCTGCAGCACCCCCCGGCCCGTGCACATGCCTCGCCCTCCCCGGCGCGCCGCTGGCCTCCCCGATTCCCTCACATAGGAGCCCGGGGAGCAGGGTGCGCCGCGCGGACCGACTCGCCCGGGAGCCTCCTCCCGAGCCCGCGCGCGCCCCCGTGCCCTCGCGCACACTGGCGCGCGCCCGGCCCTGGAGGGCAGCCCCGCCCCCGCCGCCGCGGGCCCCTCCCCCGGGTTCTCCCCCCTCGGAGCCGCACACGCTCGCGTACACCCCGCCCCCACCGCGCCACCCACTGGAGCTCCTCCCTCCGCGGCCCTGCGCTCGCCCTCCGCCTCCCCTCTGGCCATCTGCCCTGCCTTCTTCCTCTCCCACCGTGACCTTCCACCCTCGGCGGCCACTACCGCCTCTGCGACGCCCCCCGCCATTGCCCTGAAGCGCAACCTACCCCTGCTTCACTCCTACCGAATTGCCGCAGAGACCCCTCCCCTTCCATGCGCGCCCCTCAACGCTAATGCATTTCCAGCTTTGGGGACCTAGTGGCTGCTCCCGAACAACACTGTGTCCCCCCCCGTCCCTGACTTAACCTCTCGTTTCTCCCCCAGGTGATCTCGTAGATAAACTTAATTGTGCTGGGGTCACCTCGGAGACTCAAGCCCCGCGCGGGAGCCGCAGCTGAGCCTGGTGACCCCGAGCATAGGCGAAGGAGGGGGCTGCCCGCCCACCTCCACCTCAGTCACATTCTCCCCGATTTACTAACACTGAGTGACCGCTCTCCAGTCGCTAGACAGGGGAGGCAGAGAGGCGCGCTTGGACGGCAGCGAGGGAGGCCGTCGCTGGAGTTGCTAGGCAAAAATAAACATCAGAGACACCGCCCACTGCCTTGCTGCTCCTGGCCCTTCCCCTGCGCGGCCGCCGGGAGAGACACACCTTCCCCGCAGCTCCGCTGTCTGGGAGCGCCACCTCTCAGTCCTCTCCCCGCCACACACATCTCCTTCCCCTTGCAAGACACGAGAGAATTCCCCTGCCCTTTTCCTACAACTTGCCATGTACAGCCTCTCCTCATGAAGACCAAAAAATTGCTTGCCCACCTTGCGACCGCGCTTTGTGGTGCGTGGCGCACTGGATGCTTTTATACAAAGGTCACAGGTTTTGCCACTTCAACTGTTAGGAGGGGGGAAAGCTGGACAGATCTCGGCTCACCGGCTAGTAAGTTGTGCCATAGGGTGCCCAGTTTCTGAAGTTCTCCCGGGGACACCGGTCTGTGGTCCTGCGCCCTGCCCAGTGTTTCTCTTGGCCCCTGGCTGGCGGCTCGCAGCCGGGACTAGTGCAGGCTCCAGTTAGGAGAGAGCCACCTCCTGCGGAGTTCCGTCGCCTCCGCTGTTTGCAAATTGTCATAGCAACCTCCCGCAGAGATCGCCCTCAGCTTTTCATAAATGCCAGAGCGGTGTGTTTCAAGGTACGTAGTGACCCTCTCAGAGCCTCTGGGACTCTTACAGAGGCATTAAAGGCGGAGACATTGGCAGAGGTAACCTGTGCCAAACAATAGAGTTTTGCCTCTCCCCGCCAAAATCCTCTCCTAATGAACTAGACCCATAGTAAAATAGTTACTCCGGTAACCATGCCTTTGGAAGAATCATGACTGAACTGGCCCTAGCAAAAATATCCCCCCTGTGCTTGGAGACTAAATATGCAACGTCCAGTCCATGGGGGAATGCGCAGAGCTCAAAAGTAGCTAAAAGAAAACTGCTACAGGTAGCAGGATGGCCCTGGAACCTATTTCTGGCCTCCCGTCTAGTTGCACGTGATTTCTAGCACACCACTTTGCATTTTCAAGAAACCTCACCCCTCTTTTCCTTCCTCCCCTTTTAAAAATAATAATCAATATTTCCATGCCATTTTCCTTTGTATAAGTACTCCATACAATTGATGTTCAAATAGAAACTTGAAGCAAAAAATTCGCTTTTAATATAAAAGTGAGATTTTACTTAGATTATTTGTGCAATAATTCCATAGAAGATAAATATGCAACTGCTTTTTCATGAGTAAGGAAAATACTAACTGCTGGGGTCATAATTTATGACTTCCAAATTGCTAATATTAACTTACACATTAAACATGAGAAAAGGTGCCCCCCCCCTTTTATTTAACAATCATTAACTTTAATCAAAGAAAGAAAAAGATATTTGTTTAGGGAACTTTTCAAAATATATTGTTTCATAATATGGCAACTGTAATATCAAGTTTATATTTTTTGTGGCGTAATGTAAGGAAAATTTGCAGTTAACCTAATCCGTAGCTAGTTTGTTTACAAATGGTACATCTTTGAAAATTGTATTAATTCTTACTGAACTCTAAATTAGTATTAATCATTGCTGAGACTACCCTCATTCTGTTAAATATTGATGGCCTCAACCTGAATTAATGTCAAATAGAAGATGTGTAAATGTGCTCCTTGGGCTTTTGGGGTAAAGGAACTGAGTCAATTCTGAGAGTCTTTTCCTTCAAAGTTTATTATTATTATTCATCATTATCAATGATCAATACTGTACTTTTATCTCTTTATAAACCCTTTCACAAATATTACATATTTACTCTTTACAACTCCTGACTCAATCTGAGCTGATTTGACTTACAGTAGTTACCCTTTCAGGGTACATTCAGTTATTAATAGTCTGCCCTTTGGTTTTTGCCCATTGTAAAAAGTCTGTCTGTTCTGTATGCTTAAAAAGTACAGACTCAAATAACAAGTAGGGAGGCAAGATTTAGCAGGAGTTGAGAGAAAAAAACTTAAGACTTCAGTTTTGCAGAATGTAGTTGATTTTTCACTGGTAAAAATACTTACCACAGACAAAATTGGAAATGAACAAGAAAATTGGTGACTTCAAAACACCTTTATTCATTATCCTTATCCCAGAAACATTTACAAAGAATTTAGTATGTGATAGGCCTAGGAAACATGAAAAGTCTTCAGATGTAGTGGGCTCTGTTTTAGTGTGGCAATCTATTAGGAACTCATTCCTTTATTCAACTAAATGATAAACATTGAAGCAAGCATGAGGCATATCTTTTGACAGGACTAGTAGCCAGAAGTTATGGTCTAAATATTTATGTCTCCCTCAAATTCATGTCTCCCTGAAATCCGAAGAGAGCACTTGTGACTGAGATTGGTGCCAGTCACTTCCAAGTCACTTCCACTGGGAAGTGGTCACAAAGATCTAATAGCCTTTTCTCCTGTGTGAGGACACAGAGCAGCTGCCATCTATGAACCAGGAATCGGGTTCTCACCAATACAGAACTTGCCAGCGCCTCAGTCTTGGACTTCCTAGTCTCTAGGACTGTGAAGGATAAATTCCTGTTCTTTACAAGTTACCCAGGATATGACACTGTATTATAGTACTCTGAATGGACTATGCTATGGGTTCACACAGTTAAATAAATAATACCTGGTCTGAGCATTGCTACCCAGAAATTCTCAGTTCCAACATTTAACAGGGTGGACAGGGCAGTGACAAGCATACTGGAGGCACAGGGATGGTGCAGAGAGGAGCCATGAGCGGTGCCTTGGGAGAGGTTTTAAAGGTGCTTGGCAGTGTGCCAGATACGAGGCCATGTTAAAGAATTTGGATTTTACTTTGAATGAGTTGGGAGATTGAAGTTAGGTGCTCGAAGAGATGTCAAACCCAAGGTGGGCGATTGTAACAGACTCTTTCTTTACAATCTTCAATGTATTTTTATAGTCTTTCAAATTCACATTGAACTGAGCACTGTGGAACATAAAAGCCAAATGAGAACTGTGGTCTCTATTCTCAAGGAGCTTTCACTCTGGCTTGGGAGGAGAATCACTTTCTGGGAAATATCCCCACAACGCAGTCATGACCACGTTTGGTATATTTGTCTTTGGGGGTCAGAGGTACTCTCTGCCCTGCCACCCCACTCTGTGCTGAGGGGGGAAGTGTTAGGGACAACTTCAGCGGCTCCCTTGCCCCCTCCCAGTGGGATTTAACCAGTGGAAGGTACTGGCAAAGAACCAAAGGGCCCGAGGACAGCGAGGTCAGGCTCTTCATCTCCCTGGCTCCCTCCATGCTGGTTGGCCTCAGATCAGCTACTCTACATGACCGAAGATGTCAGGTCCTGTTGGGAAGCCGTGTCCTGGAGTCACAGCTACTCCTTTGGAGTTTTGGAAACCATCCAGTCCCTTATCCCTTCACACCTAGAGGTGGTAAAGGTCTCCTGCTGTTCGTAGGCCCTGTGTGCCTCCTTTTCCCTGCTCACTTCCCTTCACTCAACCCCGACTCTATAGTCCTGTAATTGAATTTGGCCTGTGCCATGTTTTTCTACCAGACTTTGGTACAGAGAACAGCATATATCCAACTGCTAAGTAAATGTGCTGTCGCTGCAGAGCTAGGAGAATCCGAGTTTGCTGGAGGCCTCAGAGCAGGATTCCTAGAGAAGACAGGATTTGATCCAGGCCTCAGGAAATGGCCAGGCTTCTCTTGCAGAAGCAAAAGCACTCCTCAGGAAGGAGCAGCACAGTGAGGGCAGAGCCTGGGGAACAGGCACTGCAGGAGAGGGGCCCAGGCAGAGAGACTGGGGACCCAGGGCTAGGAAACAGTGCAGGGACAGCAGTGTGTGGAGCATTCAGGTCATGGACGGTGGCACAGAGAGCCAGAGATAGGAGCTCACACATGGTAGGAATGGGACAGAGAGCCTCTGGAGGTCTCTGAGCAGCATGCTAAGCAGGGACTGTGCAGGGTGTGAGACCAGCTTGGAGGTCTCTTGCTGAGGTGGTGGGGAGGGGCAGGGGCAAGTACTGCTCATTCTAATGCTTCCTCTGGGGCAGTGGTTTCCAACCACTATGCAGCAGCACACTGGTATGCCGTGACAGGATCGTGGGTATGCTGTGAGAATTTTTAAAGATCGTTAATTAAATTACTTTCAAAAGAAGTTCAAAGCACGGTACGTATTTTTTTTTTTTTTTTTTTTTTGCTCAACATAATTTAAGTGCACTGTGGAAGTTTAACTATAGGTTCAAGTGTGTTATAAAAATGGTTGAAAAACACTGCCCTAGTGCTCCAAAGAGGGGCCTTCTTTTTCAAGTAAAGAGTGGCCAAAAGTAAGAGAAGAGCCTTTGCTGCCTTCGGGTTTCAGAAGTGCACACAGTTCCTTAAAGC